TTTAGGTCAAATTAATAAATTTGATCATTATATATTCATTTATTCGTTGAATCAAAATTCAAGCCCATTTTCAAGATAAACTCAATAATGTCCTAGATTTTCCATTAACCATATCTTCATCATGCCTAGCATTCTCTTTTGTATAACTTGTTTTATTGTATTTTGGCCCCAACGAACTTGTTCTAATATCATAATTATTTAGCTTCTTCTAATGGTAACTTCTAGTTATTATACGCTTTTATATTCACTCAGCCTTCTTCCATATTTGATAAATAAGGAACTCAACTGAATTACGTAGCTGAGCTATCTGCATGCAAGAATTTTCACCTGCCATTTTTCGTCCAGTTCATCTTTTCGTACGCATTAGATATTGCCTAATAAAACCACAAGCGACGTTTCATGTCTTATTTGCGATGTGGTCCAACTTGATATTTTCGAAAAATTTTTGGAATATTCTGTTTATTTTTTATATACTTTCTTAAAAAGTTTTTGTTTATAATATTATTTGTTTACCTTATGTCCTTTATCCTCCTATGAATCATTTTTTGCCAGATTAAACCAGACAGCCCTGGGTGTCCTTGCTACCTTCAAATGTTACGACGATTATCTCTGCGATTTGCCGGATCTTGTTTCCTCCATACGTATTTTAATTTTTATCATGGCTTGCGTTGGCATCTTTAGTCTTTTGGCCAATCTTTTCAGTTTAGTTCTTTTCAACCTTAAGGAGCACAGATATGGAGCTACGCTATACTTATCCTTCATAGTAGTATCAGACATTCTTTATCTTTTGTTCTTTTACATTCTTTTCGTTGTACGATTGGTACCTTCTTCTTTTGCTGAACAACTCATGGTCTATACGAAATGGAGTGTCTACCTATTGCCTTATTGTCTTCCTTTTTTCGACTTGTTCTCTATCATCAGCAGTTGGTTGTTAGTTGCTCTGCTTGTTGATCGTTTTGGATACATTGCTTATCGGGGAATTTCGCCTCTCAATAAAGAACAGTCTATAGGTGCCGAAAAGCTTAGAGCCATAACAAAATTTGATAAAAGTAGGTCTAGATGTCGCTATTCTATATACATTTCACTCATTTTCATTTTTTTCAGTATTTATATCTCTCCAAAATTTTTTGAATTTCTTCTTGTTAATGATTGGAAATCTGAAGAGCCAAAATTGATCTTTATGTTACCCAATTTTAAAGAATATCGTATTGTTATGTTTAAAGTTCTAAAGCCCACTTTGGAGTACTTGCTTCCCAGTCTTTTAGTCCTCTGGTACATTATCCTTATTAGGGATAAGCAACACGGCCTTAAACGTTTATCTCGCCACCAGAGGCAAAAGATGTGCAAATCTGTGCAAGCCATGCTTTATTCCCCTATATGTGATGCTTACTTTGCTATGTCTATGTCTGAATGTCTCCGAAAACGCAATGAGGCCATTGTTACAAAAATTGCGCTTAATATGGCCCCCTTCATGTTTGTCAGCTTACTTAATCAAGCTATGTGTTACTTCGTGAGGCTGGCTGGAGATACTACACTCACAATACGAGAAATCTTTTTCTACGGTGATGTATTATGGACTGTTTTTTTTACTTGCATGAGACCAGCCATTTATCTCTTCACGAGCAGATCTTTCCATCGAAGGTGGAACAAAAGGCAAAGTCAATTACGACGAGGGATCGTCAGCAGTTTTTCCGATGCCGAGCAAATATTGCCTCCCCTGTGAGCCATATTTTTACCAACTCAGATCATAATTGCCTGCTTATTATTTTCGAGCTTTCTATGTCTTTCACACAAAGACCATTATTTTTACCTATCGATCTCACTTTCCTATTCTCATTTCTTTTTTGCGTTCTTTCAAAAAAAATATTTTAGCTCGCTTTTTACGTAATCGAGATTATTTTAGTCTAATAATTAACTTTTTGTTGATTATTAGCCTTTACAGATATATTGATGCTGAACACCCTTATGTATTTCAATCTACCTCTGTATACGAATATTTAATTACATTCACTTATTAAAAAAACTGCGAGCTCTCGCTCTTAATGTTCATTGAGTGCTATATTACAAAATATTTTGTCATATCCATCCCAATGATAGTTTAATCAATATATGTTTTCTGTCAGAAAACGGACTCTGTACGTCCTCTGAAGTGGCAGGTGGAGCTTGGCAATTTTTTAAAACAATGACAATTGTTTTTTTTGCTTATAAGTAAGGATTCGAGACTACTAGTAAATCAGTTATATGGGATGTATTCACTCTATTTCGTTTAAGGTGATGAAGTACTGCATTCTAATTTTTTCACAATGATATGAGTGGAGCTTACACTTCCAGTGAATTGCCCATAGCCTTGCTTTCTCAAAAGATTTTCTCATCCAGGGTAGACTGCAATTTCATCCTCGCCTAGATCTTATCAACATTTCCAGCGGGACTCGAAACTAAATACATCTCATAACTGTTTTACTGTTGGTCTCGAAAACCTACTTATAAATATATAAAAAAGCAATGTAGTCTAGTGTTTTAGCAAATACAACTTTGCTTCACCGACAATTTTACCAAGGATTGTGCTATGGAAAAATGCCAGGCCTTACTTGAAATTCACAGCTACACGCTAACTATATGAGTATTGATAAGACCCAGACGAGGTCGGAATGCTATCCATCCTAGATGAGAATACCTTTTGGGAAAGTAAGGCTATGTGAAATTAAATGGAAGTGTGAACCCTACTCACATCCCTGTGGGAAACTTTAACTACCAGTCCTTCATTACCTTAAATGGGACAGGGTTAATACATCTTATGTAAATAACAATTTATGTTGCTGTGTTATAAATCCTTGAAGATTATAAGCGGTTCCTCTTGGCTTGATAGATTTCTTGAAGGCTTACCAAATAGGTAGGATTCGCATGTGAATTTAAACGTTTACTTCGTTCCATCGTTGCTAAGTTGGATGTTCAAGAATGACGCCCCTCACTACTTTCAGGTGATAGTTTTTCCTATCTCGATAAATTTGAGGTTGTTCTTCGGTGTCTCTATGTATATATATCTACTTAGTTCGATTTTAATATGATATTCTTGCTAAAAAGGGGCTTCTACTGCAGAAATATTAAAGTACAAGTCGGTGTCCTCTGCCTAGAATGTTGCAAAAGTTAAAAATAAGTTGAATTAGTTACCACCAATAGTGATCACCTCATTTAATGGAGTCCGTACTCTATTCATATCTTTGTCAAATATGGCACCCGTGTGCTCGCAAATACGGGTAAAAGTACTTAGATATATTAAATTTTAACTGCTGACTAGCGAGTCAGTATCTCATTGTTTATCTTTAATTAACCTCCTTACCCAACATCAAATTGCCCGAAATGATTAACTACTCTCAAGTAGATAGCATAATCTTCCTACCTTCAAAACTTTAGCCACCAGTTTTTTCGGCCCTATGCGTGTACAAGAGTAATTGAGGTGTCACACTATTTAGGAGCCTAGGTAATTAATTTTTAAGGAACCCAGGCCAACTACGTGTCTAATTATCTGCGACGAATTGACCACTTCGGAAACTGCACAAGTGGGTACCGAAGAGGAAAGACATCTAAGGCGACTTTTGGAGTGACATTCACTCTTAAGTTAATCCTTCCCAAAACGGGATAAGCAGTTTCACGATCTTTTTTGATTTAATCTAGTCTCGCCCTCCAGGGGGCCACTCCACCCAAAGTTGATCATGGTCTCAACCTAACACAGTAATAGCCATCCCGCCAAGCAGGATTGGGCCTAAGGTCGTAGGTATTCAGACCAAGTCAGAGAGAAGTCTTAATGGGTTTTTCGATTGGGCATGCCTGTATTTTAGTTGCGATCAACGAAGCTACCGACCGAGAATAAAAATTAGGTGACCCTCTAACGAGCGTGTAATTATCCGAGGAGGTTAGAGGTAATTTAAGGACTGGTAGTCAGGTTTTCCTACAATTAATTGAATTGCATATGGCCTCAGCCTCGAAAGCGAGCCTCTTGCAGGATTGTAGCCGTCATTTCGTCTCGGTCAACAACCCTGACTGTATTCGACACATGGCCGTGGTGGCAAAGTTTCCAATTCACAGGAGGTGATATACCTAAGACAGTGCTAATCATGGCATTCACTGATCGCCAGGATTATCAGTAGGTCTAGAGCCCTTTAGCGGAACAGGTGTGAGATAGCTTAAAATCTTGAAGTTTTCATCCTGCCTAGTCTTCGACAGCCCGGACGAGACTGGACGTTGGGCTATGCGTTTCATAGCAGCATCGTCAGCTACACAGCCATGCGACATACCACCCCTCTAGTGACATTAGTGAAATTGTTAGTCAGAACCGGATCTGTTCGCCATTAGGCTCGAAGATTTAGCTACCGCGTATTCGCCCCCAATCGCGAAGCGCAAGATATTAGGGGTTGATTGCGCGCAAACAGTGGCTCCAACCGGGTTGAACAAGTGAAGGCCAGGGACTGCGACCCGGCTCATAATTCACATCAAATCTTCGCGATCATATGAAGCAGATGAAGGACCGCTCCGCGGTTTGAATGAGTCCGCGTAACGTCAGAACTGTGACAACTGAGCAAAACTACACGGCGGGCGACCTCAGCCATCTTATTAGCTTCGTGTTTTTAAGATTTTTAAAAAATGACAAAAGCCTATCACGGACCTACATCACGAGGCAAAACTAAATAAAAGCACTTGCCCGATAAACTTATTACCCGTAAACCAATGGTGGCCCACTTTCGTTTCTCCACGATGCCAATTTGTGGATTCGGCAGGGCCAACCGACCAAGACAGAGAGCAATAAGCATTTAGAATTGCACAAATTCTCGCCTCCCCAAGACACCCAAAATAGGCTTAGCAAAAAAGCGAGCTAGCCATTTCACACATAGCTTAGATGAAGAATAAAAGCTACCAAATATGGCAGAATATTTATGAAAACAACTAATTAAAAGCTCGTCAGTTAGTTTCCTTTCAAAGAATTAAGACCCGCGCGCATAATCTCATCAACCAACAGTAGGTTCGAGGCAATAACAGAGCTGAAAAAGAAATAATATGAACGCGATGAAAGTACATAGAGAAAAATAAATGCGTACAGCTATAAATAGACAAATACCTACCAGGAATTTATTATCTGCTTTTTCACGCAGTAGTTATCAAAAACACCTATTTGCGCGGGCACAATTGCTCTTCCAGTAATTATATCAAACCCAACAAGCTCACGAGGATCAGGAAAAGATTTGCCCAGCCTCTTTGCGCGACTTTCGACAATGGCCATTTCCTCTAGGAGGCATACTTGCGAGTCTTGCGCATCATGCCCACAGTTGGTGGACAACACTTTAGGTACAACAAGAAGGGCGCTAGCAAATGCTTGCACCCCTAACCTGGCACGGCCCTTAACAGTTTCGCTAAACGATGTAAGAGCTCTATGAGCAATTATTTCAAATGCACCT